GTCAAAGTGGTCCTTAAACTTATTCAATATGCCAACCGGATCGGTCAGAATATTGTTATTATCATCCCTAATTCCAGACGTTACGGGCCCTACATATTTACGTGATCTGTTTATACCTTTGTACATTTCTCTTACGTTATTTTCAATTCTATTAGTTTCTATTTCAATTATTTTATTTTTAAGATACTCCCTTTTTTTATTTTTGAGCAATTTTGTCGTTTCGTTCTTTGAGATTCGGAAGTATTCCAGATTGTCTTCGCTAGGATTATTTAGAGCTTTTAATTTAGCGGCTTTTCTTTTTTCACACATGTTTAAGCAATCTTCATCAAACCACGGTTTGTTATTCTTATTTTCCTTTTTTCCTAGACACGAGTTACCGACCGCTTTAATATTATCTCTGATCTCTATCCATAACTTGTCAATATCCTCGTGGTCCTCGTCAGGAAGCTCTAAAGCTTCAAACCTATTCTTAACATCTAGCTCGAATTGGTTTCTAATTGATGGATTTTTTAATTTTTCCAAATTAAAATTCTCAAAATCGAAACGGTTTTCTTTTCTCTTTTTTATATTAAGTTTTTGTCGAAGTTTCTCGATTACTAATTCATGATCCGACCCACATTCTGCTCCGCGATAAGACCGTACATTAATTATACTGCTTTGCCAGCTGTGTTGTATCAAGACATGATCGATTTGATTTCGTGTTTGCGAATCCGGTGATGCCCAAGTATATTTATGAATATCCTTATGTTTAAACGTCGTACTTTTAATTATCAGGTTTTTCGAGATGGCAAAGTTTATCAGACGGATCCCATTATCATTACTATATTCGTGGAAACTTTCTTTACCAATCGTCGGAATATAAACTTCTTCCCTTCCTACCTTTGCGTTCGCGTCACCTACAATTATTTTCATGTAGTTTCGTGGTAGTTTATCATAAACCCATTCGAGTTTATCGTAAAATTCACTTTTGACTTCATCGTCACTGTCATCGGTCGGACAATGTATGTTTATTAATGCGATTTTAAACCAACGTCCCTGAAATGTAGCTACCGAAATTCTATCACTAAAGAATTGTACGTCCCTCAAAGCGGATAGTAATCTACGCCTAATTAGAAACCCGGTACCTAAACAATGATTCCCGCTTCCTCCGTACCAAATAGTGTACTTTCCTTCCCTCATCGAGCCCTCCCCTGGCCAGCGAACCTCTTGCAGAGACACGACATCCAAATTGTACCCATTTACCTCATTCGCGACCGATTTCAGCCCCCCTGCTGTGTTTAAACTCCTTACGTTCCACGTACCAATATTTAAATCCCTATATTTCAACTTGCGCCATGAATCCCCTAAAGCAGTCCCCACCCGGAGACCCGAACGGGGGACTAGTTTACCTCCGGATAATGAGCGTTTTACCTTAGGGAGATCCATGACTTTTTGTGGTGTTTGGTGAACTAAAGATATGTGAGTAGGGCGTTCAATCCTACGTCACACCCTCCAGCAAGTCTGGTGGGCCCCTACCTCCAGCAAGTCTGCAGGTCCCCTCCTTCCAGCAAGTCTGGAGGGCCCCTCTCATTTTTGGTCAGCGAGTCCATCGGACTTAGCCGGGAGGAACTTCCAAGGAATTTCCACCGACCATCCCCACATCCACCACCCGTGGGACGCTACCCATACGCGGTAATGAGCCCGCGCGAGGTATATATATATATATATATATATATATATATATATTAGATAGGCTGGGGTAGCTTGCAGGCTAAGGCACTTTCAATAGGTAATCAAAGTTAAACAACGCCGACCGTGGTTAGCACTTGGATGGGTGACCGCCCACATCAAGGAAAGCCACGCCTAGGAGACCACATGCTGCCGTCAAAGAACTTCACAACTAAGTAATAACATTGCACCGAAACGAGAATCACTTCTTAGATGACTTACGCAAACACTAATGGATTGACTGGCAGTGATGTTTTTTCTATAAAACTGAAAATTAGATTCAGAATTTATAAACATAGAAGTTATTCTAATTTCGGAGTAATGTTTCTCACCAAGTTGTAAAGTACGTTTTACTTAATTTGTAAATATTACCGTGATCAGAAAATAAATAACTTGCAAACTCACAATAAAATACAATCAAAACAATAGTTTGTATGGTTAGAGTAAACCTTATCCCAGAAAATATTGGCCTTAATCGATGTTCGTAAGTATTAATCGATTTTACCAATCACAAGGTTCTCTATTAGCTCTTAATCGAACGTCATTTTCAGTGTATAGCTAAAGCGATTAGTTCTACCCACTTCACCTTCACCAATAATTCCCCTGTATTTTCGTATCGGTTGAATCCAACAAGTCTCACCGCATTGTTCAAAGTTTTTTCTTTTATTACATAACGGTTAAATAGCACAATATTATTTAAATCAATCATATCAATTATTTATCAAATAATTGCATCATTCATTCTATAATTAATAGTGAATCTACAACGTAGAAATAATTATGAAGATATGAGAGAATATTTTTCTCATATCATTATTTACTTTTAATTACAATTCATGGAAGCAAAGATAAGTTCCAATGGGTCGCTTATTTACAATTACGTTAGTTATGAGCCATATTGCCAGTACAATCTATCTCAGCTTGATAAACATGCGTTTGAGACCGTGGTGGCTAAACGTGATAATATTTTTTAGTGAAGCAGGTTCGAATCCGTGGCGGGAATTCTGAGGACATAGGCATTTCCTCTGTGGTTGAAATAGGTTAAGTTATGCCATTAGAAGATATAATATAATAAGCTATAAAACAAATTACGAATTATTATACATCTAGTAAATATGGCACAGAGAAATGTAATGAATGCAAACTATACATAGTAGAGAAACTATACATTGGCAGCACTCGAATAAAGTTTCTAAACTAAGAGATCTCTAAGCCTAGGAGTGTTACATCGGGGATCGAAGAGGAAGCTTAGGTTAGGAACGAGAGAATTAGGATGGTTCTGAATTTTATTATGGAAGGATAGGTATCTGGATTTGAGAAATATATGGAAAGTTAAGTTCGATATGGATGATTTTATTTGTGACAAAGTAAGGAGCATGGAGGATTTTACGACGGATTTTTGATTGCAAAAATTGGATACGAGAGGAATTCGATGGTTTAGTTGAAGCACCAAAGCTCAACCCCGTAAGTCCAAATAGGCCTCATTATAGGCAGTAAGTGCTGAAGTACCGTCGAGAGGTTTCTTGAATCAGTCTGGTATGAGGATTCTACGTTGGGCGTTTGTCCAGATGGAATATAATAAATACAAATTAAAAAAAAAAAATCATGTTAGGTTATATCAATGAGGATAAGATCTATGTTACATTTAAATCATTTAATTGTTTAATGATATTACGAATGTAATCAAAGTCGTTAGAGCTGTTTTAGGGAAATCATAGTATATGTAAAAGAGGTTATATAAAATTTGTATTGAAATGGCATAAATCATTAATGCTCCTAACATACATTTAGTATGTTTATGATTGGGATAATGGTTAGTTTTTCTGCGCAATTATTGGTTCGATTAATATCTGCTCAAAAATTTTATTTTTATGATACACCAATTGTTAGTTATACGGGAAATTAAATGTTTGTTTGGAATAAATTTTGTAATATTCTGAAAAACTAGTATTTTTCGAACTTTCAAAAAATTAATTAATAAACCTGGGAACAAGTTTACGAAGAATATACTAGGAAATATTTCCACAACACGTGCTTCGATTTTCATAATATTTTCCCGGTAACCTGATTTGAGTAAAGGTTGGTGTATCGTCTCAGTCATATATGTATCGTAAATACATAATTTCAGTTTCATACAACTTATCCTTTCTGCGGTAGGATAAATTCTCAAACATACAAACGCCAGCACACAAGCAGACATGCGCGAGCGCACAAACACACAGACAAAGGTGATGAAGACCTGAGGATTTTACGCCTCTAAGCGAAAACCGGCAAACAATATACACAGATAATTTCGTGACAGTTGGTTATTTGGACTAAGGGGTTCTCAAAACGTGTACCGCAATACTTTCTCTTACTATGTATTTGATATATGGCTAAGTTTAAACAAATAACAGCTGGATTGGAGTTGATTTTAAAAAGTATCATTTTAATCGATAAGTTTTAACACATTTATCCGAGATTACCCAATCGAATATTCATTATAATAAAATTTTGGCGTGAATTTTTATAACTCCAAAAATTCAAACGTCTTGTATTTTATTTTTAAATCTTTCATTATTTTTAATCTTGGCTCATTTATTTTAATCCGGTTGACGGTATTTTGTTTTTTATATTCAAAAGTTTATATAATAAAATTCAAGAAATCAAAAATACATTACAATTTATAACAACTGAACGAGGTAACTAAAGTAATGATGAAAATGATAAAATAGATAAATTGCTTACATGCATACATTGTTCCTGTAACATCAATGTATCAAACAAATTAATTATGGTAGCCATGTATCAAGAAAGCTGTGGTTTGGATATTGAGCAGCTGGGTACGTAATGACGGATAGTGAAGTTTAGAGAGCGCAAATTTAAGATGTTTACTATCTAAATATATATGTACGGATACACGTAGCAACCAGGATAATACGACAAATTCGGAAAATTTGTAAATAGTTGTTTAGTTATTGATCATTATTAACCATTCTATTGATGTTAAAAATATTTAAGAAATGACAATACGAAATCAGCACAGTCTGGCATTAAGATACTGTTCCACAGTAAACATTTTTTAATACGTTCATGGTTTTACCGCGAGTGAAATTAGGCGATTTAATGAAAAGTAATAATTTTAATTCACAATATAAACATTTATCGTAATTTTACAGACCTAATCAAGGTATATTCTTTTATTAATGAATAACCATATGACTAGGTTATAAATATTATGGTATGAACACATTAGAAGTAAATTTTATTTAAAATAGTTATAATATTTCTATTTCTGTTTTAAAAAGTATAAAATGGACGATGTGGACCTATCAGATTTTAATTACGATTACGAAAATGAAAATATCGGGTTGGGAGAGAAAATATTGGAAAACTCGTTCGAAAGTACAAAGCGCATACTGATGTTATGCGAGGAAAGTGAAGAAGTCGGTTGTAAAACTGCGGTCATGCTCCAAGGCCAAGGAGAACAGCTGAAGACCATAGAAGAGGGGATGGAAAGGATCAGTGGAGAGCTCCGCCAATCCAACAAATACATCAGCGGCCTCGAGAAGTGTTGTGGTCTATGTTTGAATCCATTCAGGAGAAGGAACAAGCTACAGAAAGTCAAGTCATCACTCCTTAACAACAGCAGGAAGAAAACCGTAATAGCTCAGCAACCGAGCTCTAGCAAGACGGTTAAGAAAATTGACAAAAAGGTGCGTTGGATGAACATAAGCGACTCCCCGTTGGAAAACAAAATAGAGGACAACATATATGAGGTAGACACCATGATAGGAAATTTGAAGAGTCTCGCATTGAACATGAGCGAAGAAATAGAAAACCAAAATAATTCCATCGACAATATAGCATTGAAACAAACTTGTAACATAGATAACATAGAAATGTTAAAACAAAGAGCTGAGAAAATAAACAAATAGTTTTTTATTAGTACATACAAAAAGTTCTTAATGTACTTAACAAGACATTTTTAATGTATTTTTTTTCAGGAAACAGTATCCATGTTAATAGGCATAGCAAACCTGGACTAATTTTTGATTTGTTTAAATTAAGAGCGTTGTAGGTTTGGAGGGATTGCGATCCCACCTTAAAATTTTCTTATCATCACGGAGAAACTGGTTATTAGATTTTATTTGTATAAATTATTTAGTCATTTAAGAAGGATGCATTGCTAGGCGTAAGCGATATTGTATGTAGTAAGACTTAAATAAATAAAAAAAGTGAAAAATATTTTTTTCGTTCTCAATCCTAGGATAAACAAAACCATGTACAATTACGAAATTTATTCATTCCAAACACAATTTTCCTCCAAAATATATGACTGAATACTAGCAACTTTCCATGCTTATTTATACATGCATTAATGTTTTCGGATGGAGTATGTAAATGCACACAAATGTTTCCACAAAAATATACACGTTGTTCTGTGAGGAAAACTAGATAAAATGTCAACGGAATCTTGAAATATTCGAAATAATAAACAAAACCAAAAATAAATAAATAATAAATAAAATTGAATAAACTGACCGATTAAAACTCGTCATAGAATTTTAAGACGTTTTAAACAAAAGGGGATGATTTATCAGAAAAAACAATTAAGAAAAGGAACCCTGTTCTCCCCTCCCTCTGCCCAATCACAGTAGAGAACTATAATAATATTGCACGGCTGATAATAAAAATAAAATCCTAGGATTTTATGATTTGTTCATGTGGATCCTTCCATTTTTACGATAAAATTTAATCACATTTCCTGCGGCAAAGTTGAAGCATCGGAGAATTGAGAGTTCATCCCACTACCTTAAACCATAAAAAAAAAAACAGTAATATATTCAATTGCTTTATAAACTTGTTTTCAAATACACTCATAAACAAAAAAAAAAAAAAAAAACTAATATATACATTTATTTTTCAATATATAGTATTTTATTGTTCGTTTTACAATTATTATGTTGATTATATCAATTATCACTCATAATTTTTATAATAAGAAACAGCTCGACGTTTCCGACTACTCCAGCACTTACTAGACAAACGCTCTAACCTCCCAGTCAATTACAAAAGACTCATATACATGACTACAATAAGACCTATTTGGACTTACGGAGTTGAGCTCTGGGGTTCCACTAAGCCATCGAATTCCTCTCGTATTCAATCCTTACAATCCAAAATCCTTCGTAAAATCCTCACTGCTCCTTACTTTGTCACAAACAAAATCATCCATAACGCCCTTAATGTTCCTTATGTTTCTGACCTGGCCTAATCCAGATACCTATCCTTCCATAACAAACTTCAGAACCATCCAAACCCTCTCGTGTCTAACCTTGCTTCCTCTTCGATCCCTGACAACCATCAGAGGCGTCTGAAAAGAAGATGGCTTCGAGATCTCCTTTTGTAAAAACATTTTTAGAGTGCTACCAATGGGTATTTTCTCAACATGTGACTTCATGCTATTTTATTTCTTTGTTCACATTTACTGAATGTATTTTTACTTGTAATACAGTTGTAAATATCATCAATAAAAAAAAAAAAAATGTATAATTATATAAGACTCCCGAGACTAGTTTTAGGGTGAGGAGGAGTCATCGCTCCCTCCCTCCGACCAACCACAATGGAAAGTCTGTGTCAATGCAATCACCTAAATTTGTTATGGGATAAGAAGATATTTTAAACATACGAAAGATTTTTTTATCATTTTGCAACCATAAATAATCTGTATTTCTCATTATTTCAAGAGTAAAATTACCTAAAATCAAAGGTATTCAACAAGCTTCTATTTCCTATTAAGATCCAAAATGGCGCTATATAAAAACCACCTTCTCTCTGGGAACCAACCACCACCATGTGCAAGGGAGCGGATAGGGAGAGAGTACGTTCATAGGGAGGCGTGTGTTACACCATTTTTATATTATTTATTGAACACGTCCACTGTACTTCGTATATTTTTATGCATTTAATGAATTAGGTTAGGAAGAGAGAGAGAGAGAATTTGAGGAGTAGGAAAAATGTATAAGGAGAGAGAAGGAAGAGAAAAGAGTATAGAATGATAATAAATAAATGAAAGAAATACTAAAAAAAAAAAAATAATAATAATATATATGTATATATATATATATATAAATTTTATTATTATGATATACCAATTGTTAGTTATAGGGACAATTAAATGTTTGTTTGGAATAAATTTGTAATATTCTGAAAAACTAATATTTTTCGAACTTTCAAAAAATAAATTAATAAACCTGGGAACAAGTTTACGAAGAATATACTAGGCCATATCCCCTATATGGCTATATCCCTATATATATATATATATATATATATATATATATATATATATATATATATATATATATATATATATATATATATATATATGTGTGTGTGTGTGTGTAAATATAAAAAAAAAATTGAATATTATGCTCATACATATTGTTAATCATATGTAATTGTATATCAGTTTAAAAAAAATGTCTGTAGTGATTAATAAGTACGCTGTGTTTTTAGCAACCCAATGTGATTGGGCAGCACCCCTTTATGATAATAAAGTGATTCTTTCATTTTGACTGGTTATATAGAGAATCTTAATAGCTTAAAACTTTCACGGTACAACAAAGACCATTAAAAAAAAACGGTATAAATCCATCTAGTGGTTTTCATGGTTTATGGTTAGAGACGTAAAATATTTTATATGACGCTATGATTGTTTTCATCGCCCTTAAATTAATTTTACTGAAATTTTGATAGATTTGTATATTTTATACTGTAGTAAATATTTTTTGATTATTCTCTTTCATTTTTTACGAAATGGATATAAAAGCATTGGAAGAAATCTATAGAGGAACTAACCAAACAATAAAAAGGGGAAAAGCGTTGAAAGTCGTTATAGCGTTATAGGAAATTGACTTGGTAGCTTTTGTAGGATCGAGATCTTTAGAAATGAGAAATGAATTGGATAACATTTTTCCATCTGTCGTTCTCACTTTAAACAGATTGAATCAGGTTTATTATAATTATTGGTTATCAATAAAACTTATTTTAATAGTTTATATGTCTTGAATCAAGAAGAAATAATGTTGTAAAAATATATGAATTCCTGAAGTATTAATATTCGAGTTTAGAAGTTACAGAATGAGCGAGTCATATTTTGTGCTTTCGGGGGTTTCAAAAATGTTATTTTAAAAAATAGTTCATCTTTCATCGTTGCCTTATTTTTTCAGAACTTCTTAAACCAAATGGTATCTCTGTTTAATAAATATTAAGTATATATATATTTTTTGCTTTTGCCATATTATAACATCTTTTACTCAGCTCTTACAATTTATTTCTTAGGATAAGATTCAACATTCAAAAACATGGGAATAAACGATCGTAGACACCTGCGAACTCATAATGACAAGTGAAAATATTTGTAAACTATTTTTTTCTACTGGACAGTTCGATGATCTCAATAGTTTCACAGCTTTGTCAAAAACCATCACAGTTGGACACGGAACATTTTGAAAAAAAAACGGGAATATAAGAGGGAAAGACAAAAAATCTCATTAGATTATATTTGTAATTAAACATGAGACCTGATTCCAGGTCCAACACCAAAAAACAAACTAATTCTACTTGCTGATATGAATCCATTATCTCAGGCTTTGACCGAATATGGAGTACACACGTCGCTAAGATACGTATTAAAATGAATGGACAACTACTGATATTCCCTCTTCGGATGTGCATCGGACTTAAATCTATGACACTTATTAAATAACTACTTAAAATATGTGCTCATGCTAGAAAGCCAAATATGCAGAAACTATAAATTTTAAACAAAAATTATCTGAACAAATCATACAGTGTTCAGATATTTTTGAAGGCAAAAAAAATATTTTTTTATTTATTTCAAGTTAGGAGTAGGTGCCGGTGGGCGCCATTCTCCCTTAAGCCTGACATGCCAATTTTATCAATAAAGGCCACCTCCGTTTATTGTTATAGGCTATGACAGATGTGAATTAAAAATGAAATGTAAAAAAAAAAAAAAATTAAAAATGAAAAAAACGCAGATTTTAAAAATAACAACAGCAACGTCCATCTCTGAAGTCACCAAAATGAAATAAAAAACCTATGAAACGATTTTACAGTAAAATGATCATTCGACTTAGGAAAAACAAGATAATACATAAAACTCTACCACACATGTGAGAGTACGATAGCAGTCCCCTCCGCAACCGTTTATCATCGCCTTGAGAGGCAAGAAGCATTGATAATAATAGAGGATGTTAAAGAAAAGTTTTTTTTTTCCATGTTATGCAAATTCTAAATTCATAATCAGCCGGTAATGAACTCAACAAGAAAAAAATAATAAACCAAAAAATCGTGAGGAGCACAGATGAGGAAAAAACTGATGTCGTAGAGTACACTAATTGTATCCATAAACATATTAAAAGTTATTTGTTTTATTAATACTTACCTCATAAAACAGGACTTAATATTCAAATCAATTGAACCATTGAGTTTTTTTTCCCTGTATTTTTTATTTAATAATTTCTTTGGAAATTCAACTATAGAAATTTCGAGGGTTTGAAATAAAAGTACCTCCAAAAGGTACTAATCTAACGTCGACTAAATTTACATCATAAGAACTTTCAACTCTCATTAACTCAGTATGGGGGAATTCCACAGTTGTGTGAAACCACAAAAAACGGTGCAAAAATGTCGGAGGTAGAAGAAGAGACTTCGGAAAGGTACTGCACTAATTGTGAGCCAATTTACTAAAAATGTTTAACGCAATAACTTGAGGATTTTTTGTAAAGGTGTGCATGACTTTATGAACAAAGAAAAAGGCTTGGATATTTGAATGAAATTTCACATACGTGGTATTGTTCTGCCTAAAAAACAGTAATACAACAGCGAATTTAAGTTTTCTATCTTTCTA